ATCTGCATTTTATAACTTTCCCCATACTTCCTTCTTCCCTTTATTGCTAAACTGTGAAAGGAGAGAATTGTTTCTACTAATTAAATTCCCATTGCCTAAAGCCATTAGTGATTTCATAGTTTAATCAGTCTTCTTTGTATCCCCTAGTTGTCTATCACGCTGAGTTCCCAGTAAACTGTTTTAATAGACGAATTGACCAAGACCAAAATAATTGTCACACTGAAACTGTCAATAAATAGTGATTTAAGTACCTTATAGCACTGCACTAAACATTTTCGTTTCTGTTTTTACAGTAAGCCCAAGAGCTAGCTGAGTAGATAAAATTAAAATGTATTAAAAATCTACTAAAATAATATTGATTAGGTAAATCAAATAACAGTACTGTGTTGGCTTGGACAAGTAGTGGAATCTGACCCTGAAAAATGACAGGCCATTAAATAAGTAAAAGGGAGAAAAAAGTGACAAAGACATACATACAGGGGGAAAGCAAAGGATACAATACTGAAGAGATTCAAGGACAGGCTGAATAGACTGAACTATACTGAAGAGGACTTGAAAAACCAGGAGGAGAATTCTGAAGCCTGGTTCTTGAACCAAGGATCAAAAAACAAAAAAACAAAAACAGCAGAAAAACACTACTCCTACTAGACTATCTTCAACAAGGCTCATATTCCTGAGAAATCTGAAACCTGAAAACAGGGTTAAAACTATAAAATCTCACTAGAAAGATTTTTTAAAAATCAAGAACACAAGCAAACCTTTTTTTTTTAAAGTACATTATAAGTATATTAATGGAATTTTTCCAGTCTTAAATTAGAAATAACAAGCACTCAATTATTTTATGTAAAGCGCACAGTACAATATGATAAACACGCAAAGTTGGCTAGCTACTTTAATTTCTATCCTTGCTCCCTAGAAACTTTGTGGAAGCTCCCTCATCCACGATTTCAATGAGGCGTTATATTTTTGTTTGCTACAGATTAAAATAGTAAGGCATTTTCTTCCTCCCAAACATGTCTGACCATCCACATACTCAAAACTTTGCAAATTTACAATATGAAGTCCCTAAACCCTTTTCACATAAGTTATGTTTGATGTGTACTACATAAACTATTCAAAGTAGGAAATTGGTATAGATCAATAATCTGACACAAAAATTTTGTTAACGTTTCAGACAACACCAGCACCAGAGAGCTGTGGGGGTTAGAAGGGTAAAATCTAAGAACAGATTAACAGGCTCCACCAAAATTTTAGTCAACTATAACCTAAAATTTACTATACATTTTGTTTACTATCCCTCGATATATCAGCGCTCCTTTTAACATAAAAAGTTTTAAGGCAAATCTCCAATAAAGATAGGACCTACAGAAAAATGCGCCATGTTTATCTAATGACTTTCATGCTCCCATACCAGAGCAGCAAAACCACAGCAGTATGCACCTTCACTCCAGAGTTTAAGCAATAGTGGCATCAGAGGAAGGAGAAAGGATTGCCCCTAAGATCAGGAACAAGGAAGGATGTCTGCTCTCACTTTTTTTCAATACCGTATTGGAAATACTAGCAATAAAACAAGAAAAAGGATGACATCATCACAGAGAGAGTTCTAAGAAGTCTCTAAAAACACACGGATAACACTGTAAACACATAAATATATATATAATATTACGTATATTTACATGTTATATTATGCCACCAATAAGCTGGAAAATGAAGTTACGAAACAATACATGTATGATACAATCAAAAAACCACAAAATACATAAGAATAAATTTAACAAAAGATATGCAAGACCTCTATAATGAAAACCGCAAAACAGAGAAATTCAAAAAGATCTAAATAAACGGAGATACTGAACAAGAAACCTCAATATTATAAAGTTGCCTATTCTCCCCAAATCAATCTACAGCTTTACCCATTCCCATCAAAATCCCAGTAGGCTATTTGGTAAAAACTGACAGGCTGCTACTTAAATATATAGGGAAATACAAAATACAGAGAATAGCAAAAATAATTCTAATGGTAAAGAATAATGTTAAAGGACTGATATCGAAACTCGCTGTAAAAGCAAATAATTATGACAGTGTGATACCAGAGTCAAAACAGACACAGAGATTAATGGAACAGAATAAAGTTCAGAAATAGACACTTTTTTATATATTTGCTGATTTTCTTTACAAAGATCCAAGGTGATTCAATGGAAAGAGCATAGTTTTCTCAACAAATGGTATTGGAAGAACTGGATATCTATACGCAGGGGAAAATGAGTGTCAACCCCTATCTCACACCATACACAGAGAAACTAATTCTACATGGAGCATAAACCTAAACATAAAACTTAAAACTATAAAAATTTTAGGAAAAAAAAAAAACACTGGCAAAATTTTTGTGGCCATGGGATAAGAAAAATATGTTTTCATAGGAAACAAAAAGTAGTAACCAAAAAAAGGGGAAAATGATAAAAATTGAATTAATCAAAACTAAAGCTTTTTTAAGATATTCGAGAAAATAAAAAAGAAACCACAGACCCAGAAAAATATTCACTCTATGTATATTTGACAAAGGACTTGTATCTAAAATATACAAAGAACTCTTATTTAATCAAACGACTTTTTTTTTAATGGGCAAAAGACTCGGATAAAATTATCAAAAAAAGTGACATTAAGGAAATGCAAGTAAAACTATAATAAGCCACAACGACACGTCCATTACCTTAAGTGAATAAAATTTAAAAAACTAACAATACCTACTGAGAATGTGGAGCAACTGGAATTACAAACATTGCTAATGGGCACATAAAACGGTACAGCTACTACGGAAAACATTCTGAAAGTTTCTTATAAACTTAAACATACACTTAGCTTATGACCCAGCAAGTGCATCTGCTATTTACCCAAAAGGGAAATATCCACAAAAAGCTCTGTACAAGAATATTCATAGTAGCTTTATTCCTAATAGCCAAAACTAAAAACCCAAATGTCCATCCAAAGTGAATGGATAAACAAACTGCAGTGTAATCACACAATGGTATTGAATACCTCTCAGCAATAAAACAGAATACACTAGATACTCAAAAATATCATGCTGAGCCAAAGAAGCCAGACACAAAATAATACAGACTGTATGACTCCATTTATATGAGGTTCTAGAACAGGCAAAATAAATCTATAGTGATAGAAATAGATCGGCAGCTACTTGGGGTAGGGAAGTGACTCTGAAGGGATGTTAGGAAGGAACTTTCTGGGGTGACGGAAATGGCCTCACTACAACAGCATGTCTATTTATCACAGTTAATCAAATTATAGTTTGCGTGCATTTTATTATATAAATTACATCTCAAAATGTTATTTAAAAAAGGAAGGAACTTGCCCAAAAGTCAGTGACCTCCTCTCCCTTGAAGAGAAATGAATAAAGCTGAGAAATTCTTAACCTCCTCCCCTCAAAAAAAAAAAACCAAAAAAATGATGATAGCGCAGATAAGTAGAAAGAATAAAGATGACTGCAATCTTAAGTCATAGAAGGAAATAATAGAATAGGATGACAGAATGCATATAATTTTACATGCATATAATTTGGAGATTGGCAGGTAATAAAACCAGTATGTACATCATATGGAGCGATAATTTTTAAATTGGGAATCTGATAAAGGTTATAATTAATCCCTTCAAATACAAAAAAACAAATTCACATAAGTAACTTCATGGACACCCTAAAGTACATCCATGAAGACCCCACTCACCCAACCTCTGTGGGTTAAGAACACTTGACTCTGTAATGACGTAACTTAGAAGTATCAGGTTTATCCTTAAATTATCACATCAACTAAGGTGGTATTACTGAACCTTATGTCTACCTTTGAGGAAAAATTTGGACGAAAGTGCTCTGCCTCGACCATCTGCCCCTTAAGACACTAAGTAATTACTGTACTCATCTACTTTCTTTCACCTTCTCTGGTCTATATCCCCTTTTCTCTTCTTTCCTGAACATCAATCACCAAGACATGTCCTCAGTCGCCTCTTCTCCCTCTAATGTATACTTAATATGCTGATGATCCCACGTGAACGTTTCCCGGCCAAGCCCTTCATGTGTTACTGGAGACACTCTTCTTATCACATTTATAATCAGGTTCAAAAAGCCAAACTTAACCACCTTTCCCATTAAAACTACTTTTTCTCATTTCTATCAATAAAACCTACATTTCTATCGTACCTCAAATTCAAAACCAGTCTTCATTATTTCATTCCTCAGTCCATTTTTTCCTCATTAGTCATTTATAAACACTATTTCTTTTGAGGAAAAACCATCTAAGCCCTTATCACCTCAAATACACATTAAAGTCTACAATCAACAAAGGGATCTTACTTGCATCCATTTATCCCCACCACCTCTCCCCACAAACCCTTGTTGTATGATAATGCCTAACAAGACTCCCTAAAACAAGGTAAAGCAACAAAGAAAAGAAGCCCTACTTTTCCTCTCCGAATGGTTTCATCAAATCCCTCTAATGAATTTCCCTTGCTCTGCTTCACTGTTCAACCTTATTTCCACTATATATAAAAAGGGCCTACTTTAGTAAACCCACTCACCTTTTCTGTTCTCATCAAGCCAAAACTAGGCAGGTCCTAGTGCTGCTTCCTCTCCAATAATATCCTATCCATACTCACAGCCCAATACTAGACCTACCTCCTCCAACCTACTTACTAAACGTGCAGTTCTCAATCTCTTCTTTTGGATTTCTATAGCTTTTAAATTCACATTGTCTTAAATATAGCAAAATTACAAACTTCTAGCCTTTAACAATAATCTAGCATCCTGTAAATTACTTTCATTTCTCCTATCCTGTGCTTATATTTCATGAATATCTTTAAGTCATACACACATAAAAGATTACGTGTTACCAGATTAAGATATTTTTATCATTCTTCAGATCAAATCAGATAATAAATCCTCTGGATTTATGAAAATAACAAACTTTACCTGAAACATGTTATCATCTCTGCTGCTGCTGCTCTGCTTAGAAGATGACAGAGCTCTTGAAGTTTCACCAGTCTTTTGCTTCTTTACAGGTTTTTCTGGAGGTACTTGCTTTTTTCTCTTTAACTTGAAAGAAAAACTTGACTATGGTTAAAATTTGCACTTAAAAATAAAACATCACAGATTTGAGGGTGAAAAAGAGGGTATGTACAAGTTCACACTTCAATGACCTCAAGTAACCTCACAGAGTGATCTGATCACAAATTCCTAACTGGGCAGGTCAGGGAGGGTAGTCATGCCCCAGGGATGTAATTTTGTAGTAAAAGGTTTATCTTTGCCTTAAGCCTGCCTTGTTTCTGTGCTTCTAGTTTAACACACCTTTGAAATGTCTCCTTTTTCAGACCCCTGGGAAGCTTAATCACCCTCAAGAGAACACATCTAGTTAACTATCCTGTAATACAACCCCTGCCTTGTTTCTGCCACCTTCATGTAACCTTCCTTACGTTCCCTTCTTAAATCCAAATGTACTGAAGAAACTGTAAAACTGTCACTCTCCAGAAGACTGGAGATGTTGCTTCCAGGCAAGGTCATCACTTTGGTTCACATAAACTTATAAAAAATTCTCTAACGGTTGGAACATTTCTTACATTGACAGGTTCAAAAGATTCCATTACTTTTTAAGACTTAAAGGATCAAAAGATTATATTTATTCATTAAGAAACAATCATAAACATTTACATGGGCAAGTTTCACTTGACAGCAGAACTTTGAAACAAACCTAGCACTGGTATGTAACAGTCTTTTCAAACTGTTCTCAGGAGCCCAAAAAAATACTTCAGGCAGTAGAGTGGTATTAACCAGAGGTTATTTTATAGACCAGGACAGATCCCACGTAAGGTTTCTTTGGGAGGAACAAAAAAGGGGGTATGGGGGAGAGCTGCTGCTTTTGAATAAACTTTTGGAAACCACAGGTCTACTAAAGCTACAAAGGGATATACTAATTAGGAAGAAAATCACCAATTTATCCCGTTTCTAGGATATGATTATGTATTTATGCTCTGCCTGTTCCAAAAGAGACAAACTGGCTTAACTTATGTGTAGGCAAAGCTAATATGAAAGGTATTTTGTACTGGGTACTAGAAGTCAATGACTCAAGAACTTCCTCATCACAAAAAAAAAAAAAATCACTGAATATAGACAGGATTGTGTTATGGACTAACATTCAAAATCAAAACAATGTTTTAAAAGCAGCATTATTGTAAAAGCTTTTTAATGTAGTTTCATTCTCAAAATGAGAAACAGCCCATGAAAACCAGTAAAGTTCCCAACCCAAACAGTAGAGGGCAGTCACATTCCTTAGTGGAAAGTATAAACTAGTATACTAAATTAAATGGAGCTAAATAAAATATAACATACATATGTACATAAACAAAAAATGGATGTTTTTAATATAAGTCCTTACAGGATTAGTAGCACTATTTGGAACAAATAGCAAAAATTAACTCAGCTCAATAAGCAAAAGCAATTATTCTTTACATCAGGGTCTAGATATTCCCTGTGGACTGGCACATGCCTAGCACATAAAAGCTCAATAAAAATTTGTTAAATGAACATATTCAAATGCTACACTGAGTTCAAACAGAAAAATTAAGAGAGATTTCCTTCTCAAGTATATGTATGTTCCTTTCAACCTTCCAGGTGAAATTATATTCTGTATTTCCAAAAACCTCTCCTCCAAGAGTCTCCCATAAACCCTTTTAACTAACACTGCTAACCAAGCTCAGAGACACAGTTATGTAAGCTTCTAGGAGATAAAGGACAGTTCTGTGTGGAAAGAGGCTCTGACCAAAATGTGAGGTGCTTGGTTAAGTGCAATGCACCACACCTACAGCACAGTTATCAAAAATGGGTAATTTCCTGATACCTTTTCTGGGTGCTGATTTAACTAAAAGGAGGGGACCAGAGTAAATATTTAACTTAAAATGTACCAAACCTACATTTTAAGTAATACTTGTGGGCTAGATAAATACCAATGGCTAAGAAAGCTGTCAAAGTTGACATTTGCATTCAAGGAGTTCAGGTAATTTGGATCGACTATTACGCACAATATTTACAGATTAGGCAGATTTCTAAATAATGGCAAATATAGTGGCTTTGGCCTAATTCTAATGCTACTCCCCTACTGTCTAAGGCAGTGGTTCTGCAGTTTAAGGGGTCTTCAACAGACATTATAGTCTGAAGACTTGCACAAGTCCGATTTAGGGCCTAGGAGTGTGCAACTACAAGCAACCTAGGCATTTTAGTCAACTGGTCCAGGGGCCATTCATTTTCTGAAACACCCATCCAGGCTCATTTAAAGATTCTGATATGCCCTGCTCCCCGCTTTCAGAAATGGATATGGGCAATATTGCTGAATTAAATATCACAGAAATGACTTGGTGCAGGAAGTCACCTTTTTGTCAACTTCACTGTCAGAATCACTTCCAGAAGAGCTTGAAGAAACAAGTTCCTTTGATTTAGGCATTCTGAAAGAAAAATACATTATGTAAATAATTTATAAACCGCTCTATTACCTTTAACTTAATTCTCCCCCAATCAAAAATTTAAGAAGTTCCATGTCCGTTTTACCATTTTGTGGTACTGGAGTTATTTTACTGAGCACATGCTAAAAGTTATAATCTAATCTATGCTCTTCCCAGTTGAAAATAACATGGAGAGTGAAGTGTTCTGAACCCAGCAAGGAGAAAGAACTAAATGTCATACACATCTCACACTCCTACACCTTTTTCTCAAAGCCAATGGTTTTTTTTATACTTCATTTTTATACTTTCTATACTTTAGATATTTATGGGTAGGGTACACTGCAAGAAGCAGCTGACAGCAATCACTGTTAAAACCAGGGAGAAATATGAATAATTCCTCTCAGTACTGCTTTACACTTCTCACTGATGAGACTTAATATAAAATTATTCACTGCAAGGAAATAACCACAACGTTCACACAACGTGGGCAACAGTTGCACTATACAGATGCTGCCATCTAATTAATTTGCTATTATAATCCTGTTTTTTCATATTTTGTATATGTTAACTTTCTTGGGCTTTTTGACCATACCATCAATTAACAAGCACTAATTCAGAGTTCACAACGTTATACATAATTCACAATTCACTATATTTCACACTTATTTTCTACTCTGAAATACAACTAAAATGTGAAGAATCTGCTAATGGGAGAAGCAAAACCTTCCCTCAAATCCCTACTAAGACCCTAGTTTCCCGGGTCTCGCCCATCCCCAGGTACACAGTCCAGTGTCTTCCTTTCTAGTGAGTGTTTACTGAGTGCCTGAGTGCAGCAAGGCAGAGGGCCTTGTGCAGATTTTTTTAAAAGTCTAAGTCCCATATTTCAAGGAATTCCAAGGCAAGCTGTACCTCTTTTGAAGACACATACAATACCAGGTGGTGAACGTGTTCCACAATAGGAGGTCAAGGTAAAAGAAGTGGGCCATTCCAATCCTAGCCTAAATTTTAAAAGCTCATACCATGCCCAACCAGCCATATTGATTTTAACTGGTAATTTCTTGATAGAGAAAAGTAAATTCGGAAGGGAGCAGCAACGTTCAATATTACCATGTTTTATACATTATTCCTGCTACTGCTCCATTTTACAACCAAATCTCCACATCAATTTAGTTGTTTTGTACGCTACCTGCTAATAATGACAAGAATCATTTTTTAAAGGTAATTAAATTGGACAGAACCTATTTTTCACTTTGAAACGGTCAAGCATAACTATACCGTCTGCTAATAAAAGCTGCCTGGGGGCCTAAGATCGTTTCAAAGAACCATCTCCTTTTTAATCCAAATAAGAAATCCAGTCAACAAGGAAACAAGGTAATGATAACTAAAGCCAGCCTCTTTGAACTTTTGACAAAATATGTATTTATTTTTACTTGAGGCTTTGCTGTTTCAAAAAAAAAAAAAAGGCACGCTCGTAATTCAAGCAAATGATGCTAAAAGCGCTAATGTATAGAAAACACAACTTAAGAAACGAATATTTGGTCTCTGATGACGGTGTGGGGGAGGGTTAGAAAAGACGAGGTGAAAATAAATTAGGACTAAAGGGCACATGAATTCGGTACGACACGAGGGCTTTGCTAAGCACCAAGACCCGGGAAGAAGTCGCGCGGAGCCAGGGAGCCTGCTAGAACCCGGGGACTGGAAACGGGTAGAGCTGAGGGGGAAAACAGGTTGGTCAGAGGGGGCGTGGGAGGTGGCGAAAAGCGGAGGAGACCGTGCGGGAAGAGGAGGGACTTGCACCAAGCGCCATTTTCTTCTCTCGAAGCATTCGCTACCCCCAGCACACCAGCCGTCCTCCACCCCCAACCCCCGCCGCTGCCCCGCCCTGCCCTCCTCCCCCATGGGGTCCGCTCTCTCCCTCCCCCAGAGCGCCTCCCCACCGCGAAGGCAAAGGTGGGAGCCCCAGAGAGGCCTTGGGGAGAAGCAGGCCCCACACGCGCCCCCACCCGGGCCCCGGGCGCCCTGCATTGTCCCTGGGGCACTCCGGCCCCCACCCCGCAGCTCCTCGAGCCCAGCCGCGCCCCGCCGCCCAAGGCCGGCACCCCCGCCGCCGTGGAGCCGTTACAGGGGGCCGACTTCTGGCGCGGAGGGGCCTGCAGCGCAAGGGGCGCAGGGTCTGGACCGGAGGAGGGGATGGGAGACGGAGGAGGGGGTCCAGGGAGGCCGCGAAGGGGGAGGTCAGGCAGCGCCGCCATTTCCCGCGGCGGCCGCCGACAGACGAGCGGAGGGCCGCTCGTGGTCCCGCTGCGGGGGTAGGGGATCGGCCGGGCAGGGGGTTCGAGGTGTGGGGGCGGGGTCCCGCGTACTCACGCTCCGCTCCTGGAGTCAAAAAGCCCAGTGCTCGCTCGCTTGCAACTGACAGAGAACCGGACGTGACGGAAGCCAAGAGACAGCGACCCCGCCCGCTGGAACACGTGACGGGGCGTGGCCTCGTCACCGAAACCAACACCGAGACCCTTTCCAGGGCCTTAAAGGAACCGCCCCTCACCTGAACAAATGCCTTGAAAGTGAGATGCCGCAAAGGTGGGTCTAACCTATGAGTGAATGAGGGAGCGAATAAAACGTGAATGAGAAGCACCGAGCTTTTCTCTCGTTCCATAAATGTTTCTTGTATTAAAGTGAAGTGTCTGTACCGAAAAAGATCGACACTTCTGACCCATTTTCCTAGATATGATCCCTTCCCCTTCGACCTCCAGTGTTTGCCTCTGGCTGGTAAAATCCAAAGGAAGGAAGCTAAAGTCTGTTTAATTCTGGAAAGAGCAAGAAATTTTTGCAGAAGTCCTGGACCGCACATACCTTTACCCCTAAACTGAAATCCTGGAGGTTAAAGTAGTTCACAGAAGGCAAGAGAAACATATACTACAAGCAGGAATATAGCCTATAGATTTTTTCGATGTATGTTTGATGAATGCCTACTATACCCAAGAATATATATAGTTATATTCATCCAACACACATTTAGCCAGCGCCCACTATGTGCCAGGCACTGCAGAAGCACTTTACATATATCAGGTCCTCATCCTAACCACCACTTTCCAAAGTAAGAATGGCTATTCTCTTCATTTTATAGATGAGGAAACCAAAAATCAACAAGGTTAAATAAATTGCTGGAGATTATAGGGGGAGAGGTGAGTCATCATGTCAACCCTGCATCGCCTGACTCCCACGCATAGAAACAACGCACAAGCTCTAGACCACTCTTCTATGCAGTGTCAGGCTAAATGACCGTGTTTTAAAAATGAAATACTTACTGTACAATTCCTTTTATATGACCTTCCAAAAACGCAAAAATAATCTAATCTATGGGAATCAGGTTACCCTTGAGGGATATTGCTTGGGAATGAGTGTGAAGGAATCTACCGAAACTGAGTGTCCTTAAGACTTTGATTAAATTTACTTTTAAATCCTAGATCCAGAAATCATATCCCTTTCTCTTTATATACCCCTCAGAGACCTAGCCTTCCCCCAATAAGCAGCAGCCCATGAGGCAGCAGAAGACAGCAGCCTAGATCTGATTTATGGTCACAGGGTGGGGACCTCTGGCAGGCTAAAGATACCGTATTGACCTAAGTTTTGTTTCACTTCTGGAGCACTAAGGTGGACCGACCCTATGGCTAATTTCCCATGACGCCAGACAGAGAGATCCCAGAAAAGACCTCAGAACTGTCCTGAAGGCCTGAAGAAGTGGTATTACTCTTACCTTACCGCCTACTAAGCTCCCAGCACAACTCGAAACTCCTAACCCAGTGTCTTGTGATTTTGCCCTATGTAATCTGTAACCTATGTATCACTGAGGAATTCAGGCTTTTGAGCATTAGCTTCCCGTTCTACTGGATGGCGCCATTCATCAATAAAATAGCCAATATTTCTCCACTGCAATTCTCCATGTTTAGTGTTTGGCTCTAAAAGCACCAGGTGGATGAACTCTTCCTGTTCAATAATAATCACATTATCTTTCTTTAATATGACTTGTACTTTCTTGGTACTCACACACTTAATATTTGGGCATTTTACAGTACACACGATACATTTCAGTGAGAAAGTTGAAAAGTAAAAAATATAAAAATATTAAAATTAAATTGTAAAAAGATAAAACGCACTCAACAATCACTGTTCAAGCACGGTAGCTTCCTAGCCTGAAGTTGGCACACCCAAGGCAGTTAAGGACTCTACCCAACCAACACCATGGCCAACTGACCAACGTTCCTTTGGAGCCAACGGTGCCCTGGGGCCTTGTGGGGGGTGTCTGGTTGGACTGAGCTTATACACTGGGGTAACTAGAGCCTTCCTGGGCTCTGGGAGCCATAGATGGTTCTCCCTCAAAATTTGGGTGCTATTCTGGACAAAGTTCAGAGCACTGGTTGGAGCCATTTGACTCACAACCTCCCCTCCCTCTCCTCCAAGATAGAAAGAGCTACGACTCCTTACTCAAGTGCAGGAAGCTGCCCAAAGGTTCTTTCCTAGTTTATTTACTTATTCAGTAAACATGTATTGAGTACCTACTATAACCTTGCATTGCTCTAAATGCTGGGAATTCAAGAATGAACAAGACAGTCACTAAACTCATGGAACAGAATATAAGTAAGTAAAGAATACATAGAGATGATAATTTCAGATAAGTTATAAAAATAAAAGAAAAACTGGATGATGCCATAGAAATTCAATCAGCTAAATTGAGGCTAATTTAGATATGAAAGGGATGAAATGAGAATATTTAGACAGAGGCCTAAATGAAAGGGGACAGCCAACCTAAAATTTTGGTGCTGGGGTTCCAGAGTAAGAAGCAAGCACAAAAGCCTTGAGGTCCAGATGAGTCTGGAGAACAGAAAGCCATCCCACGTAGAACCCCATCAGAGAACAGGGGCAGCACACAGATGGGGCCCACACATCAGCTCTGGGCTAAGTGCCAAGGCTGCTCAAGCTCTAAGAAGTGCTGGCTCTGCAGAGCTGCAGGAGCCCAGTTCTGGCCTCTTTCCAAGATCCAAGACAATACTACTGCCTCTTCCTCCTCACCCATTACTACTACCAATCAGCACCAAGGAATCCCACAGCTTCTCTGCAACAGTGTCTGTGCCCAGAGAGATAGATCTGTGTTAGCCAGGGATTTGTTTTTTGAGATCACTATACATGAAATTGTGCAAGTCTCTAGAATTACCAGTAGAAAGCTACAGCCACAAATAGTATAAAATTCCACAGAGAGCTGGGCCTTTGTGAAATTGGAATGGGGAATGCTTCAAAGAGGAAGACAGCTTGAGAACACTTGGAGTGGGAAAAAAAGAATCTGAGCTAGGTATGACCACAAAATAAATAAGGCACATTGAGAGGCTATGAGTAGTCTACCTTATGGGTGTAGAGAGTTGGCACAGAGCAAGAGTGGGAGATTTATCTGGAAAATTGGGGTGAAGCCAGATGGTAAAGGGCCCTAAATAAGTTCCAAGGAGTTGTGAAAAACAAGAAAGTGGGGTAAGGAAGCTTTTTGAGACAGTAAAATGTTTTAGGAAGGTCTGGGGTAATATGAAGATCAGGTGAAAGAAAGAAGAAGGAAGAGATGGAAACTGGGAACACTGTAGAGGAGATTGCTCCAACTGCCAAAGTAAGACGTGATCAATTCCTAGAATATCAAAGTGACTGTCATTTGGCCCCAGCTAAGCTCTCTGTGCATGTCTGGGTCCAACAGAGGAAGCACTAAGAGTAATAAGAAAAAGAGATCTGTTCTAAACTTGAACCCACTAGGTGCTTTGAGACCCATTCGCCTGCATTGAATGAAGAAGGGAGAGAGTCAAACTTCTGTCTTTGTTACCGGTTATGGCACAATTGTGAAACTGTGTGAGCTCAAGGCTCCCACCAAAAATAAACTCCTGGGCCCCAATGTGCAGGAAGAGAAGAGGCCTTACCCAGGAGAATGAGGTCACAAACCCCAAGAGAGCAACACATGGTAAAAACAGTGCTCAGCGATGACCATCAGCCCTAGGTTAATCTCGCTCCCTGCAAGTGGGAGCTCTGAGAACACATTCTCATGGCCGCCATAACAGAGAACATACGTGGTGCAGAATCTCAAAATATGAAGAGGGACAGCAGATGGAGGAATGGTAAGGGATTTGGTAAAGTCAAAGCAGAACTCTGTAGAAGCTCAGAATTATAGGTCTGAGATGCCATGGAAGGCTGGGGTGTCCAGGGGATGGGGTGGAAAAAAAAGGGAATGATTGAGTCCCCCTTTATGGAGCAATTAGATCCACGGTTCCCATCCACATCACCCTCATAAGAGAAGGAAATTATATCTTCTCTGGAAAAATCGAAGGGGGGATGGTATGTGTAAAGGGGTTAAAGGGCAAATAGAATACAGGAGACTAAGTCAAAATCTAAACACTAATGTGAAAGCATTTCTCCCGAGACTCTTTCC